ATGTAAACCAGAGAGCACACAGACCCCAGCGCACCTCCCGGAGCTGGGAACTAGCAGCTCCTCCCTGCCTCGCGCCAATCAGCCTGTAAATCCCAGAATACAGGAAGACTTCACTGCTCTGGGTCTTTGCTTTGGCTGTCCCCTACCCGTTCGGTCAGCAGCACCTCCCCTGACCCACCTCCACCTCAAACCAAACTCCAAACAGCATTCTGGGAAATTTCCCTATCACCCATTCCCCAACTTTATGCAAACTTCCCTGGCTAATACCATGTACTGCTCTTCCCCTCCAAATTTGTGGGAAGCTCCCTTGACTACATTACTGCCTCTCAACTCAACGAGCCCACTCATCTCAGTCTGAATTGGGTGCCTGCTGGCCCTTCCTGCCCTGGCATCATGCCCGTTTCACCTGTCTATCTCCACAGGCCCAGGACTGTGTGTGTCTTCATCTTCAACACAACCTTGCACACTTCGGGAGATTCAATGCATCCTTCTTGGAAGAACCAATGAACAAACTGAAATAACAGTAAACCAGAGACATCACTCAAAATGGAGAAAACTTCTATGTCTGCCCTTGTCTTTCTCGCTCTATCACTAGATGCCCTGCGCACTACAATATCAAGAAAGCTTAGCGCCATTAATAGACACACACACTCATACCAGGAGCAAACATAATTCAGTTTTCAAGTTTTAGCTAGAGCACAGGATTAATATATATTTTTAAACAAATTATTACTATATTTACCTATCAAACAAGCAACCTCTATGCGACTGGTTTTGTTTAAGGACAAACCAGTTTTCTAGGCGACAAGTACTTCACTTGGGTTAGAAGCTCCGCACCTGGCTGCCCCAGAGTCTTGGAGGAGCACCCAGTGAGGCGCTCAGCATTCCTGCCTCTTAGCTCAACTCTACCGCAGCAAGGCCCTGGCACCTGGGGCAGATGTCTGAACACCTCATGTGCGGAAGGAAACAGCACACGCAATACACTCACCACCATGGCTGGCACAATTACTGTCCACGTTTGAAGGATGAGACAGGATTTGCCTCAGGTATAAGAAACAATAGCTCTATTTAGTAAATGATGGTAACAAAGCAAACAAAGCTAAAGGCCTTCTGTAGGCCTGAACTCTGTGCAAAGTTAAGAATAGTTCTCCTCTTCCCCGTCACTAGGGGGAGTGCTCAGCTCCGGAAGAAGTAGCCAGAAAAATGCACCGGCTGGGTCACAGTCCTCACACTCGCACCACTGGGCTAGGACGCCACAGGGTCCCACCAGCATGTGACCAGGGATAGATACTGGGACTAGCAGCTGGTCATCGTGAAAACTGCAACTATCCAAACAGGCAGCTTTCCCTGAAATGCGGCAGTCCTTATCTGACAAGAAGAGGAAAAACTCCCAAGAAACTGCCACATCAGAATCCGTAGCAATGATGACCCTATCCTAATGCTTATTTCTCTGAACACCCGCATGATGTACTTTAAAATGAACCTCCGATCTCAAGGCAATTGAAGCATAAACATACAAGGCATTTTTCACGTCTTCTCGAGTACTGACTGTGATGTCAAGTAAGGATAAAGTCAAGGCTCTCACTTGCTGCCCATCTTGATAGCTGTCTATACTTAAAGTCTGCGTGGCCATCATGGTCAACGAGGGCTTTGTGACAAGACATCAAATCATCTTGACTCGACAGCAAGCGTGGTCTGGGGAAACAAAAACAGGGCATCCGTTAGTAACTGTAGGACATCTCTGTTGCCTGTACTCACCGGCATGCACACATCTATGACAAAACCCCTTGGGTCAGAGGAGAGAAGCAGCCATCCTTAAAGACCTGGATAAATCAGACCCCAGGCTGCAGTGCCTCCCTGATGGGCACTGTGCTGACCCCGCCTTGTCATCACATCCTCTGCCACGGGACCCAAATCCAAAAACCACTCTCACCGCCATCAAGTCGATTCTAACTCTTACAGGACCCTATAGGACAGGGCAGACGAACTCTTCACAGGAGTAGAAAGCATCTTTCTCCTGCAGAGTGGTTGTGGTTTCAAACGCCCGACCTTGTGGTTAGCAGTGTAACTCATAACTACTATAGCCACCCGGACCCCAGAGAACAGTAAATAACCGTCACCTGCATATGACAGCCCTGGGTCCCGGGACACAGCCAGAACAAGTCAGCGAGCCCCTGCTTTCTGGAGCAGAGAGACCATCAGAGAAGCCCGGGTAACACCCTCAGGGGCTGCCGAGTCCAGTGTGAGCGGTGGCCTCTCGGGGAAGCAAGTGCCTGCGAGGCTGAGGCCTGGGAGAGGCGGAGGCGAGTAGCCCCAGAGAGTGGTCAATGCAGAGACCTAGCACAATGGTGGCACGTGCTGGAGCAGCCGAGACAAGCACACTCCTAGCCCCCAATATAGTTCCAATATGGACCTGACCGCTCACTTGCTTAATGACATCGCAGCACTTCACACAGTCAGTGGGCTGTGCGCGAGGAGAAGCTAAACGGCAGGGTGGCAGAGCCTCCTGTAGGTGAGGCAGGGCTCCAGCTCGGCACCAGGCCAGCACAGGAGATGGCCAGCCTGATTCCACCGGGCGCCTCATAGAGGCTGTCAGGCTGGGGGAGATGCCTGGGCAGGCTTGGGGCAGTGCCCACCTGATCTGCACCAGCAAGGGCCGCCTGGAGACAGCGTCTCTGAAGTACACCCAACCCACGGTGGGCACACGGGAAGGCCCTGCAAGTGTGTCATGAGCAAAAAGAAACAGAGTGTCCAGCCCCATGCGTCATCTGATCACATGACCCCCTAACTCCAGCCATCCTCCAGTGGCCTGAGGGAGGCTCTCTCTCATCTCACTCTGCGGAGCCTGAGGGACAAGGCCAGGGCTGGAGAGCTAAAGAACGAAGCGGCTTCAACGTCAAAGGGTCATCCCACCACCTCTACCTCCACAGAGCTAGCATGTGGGGGCTGGGCACCACAAATCCCAAAAGACATGGGGAGAAGAAACTCACCCAGCAAAGCTTACCAAATGTCAGGCAGGGGTCTCATTCCCTGGGGACACAGGAAGACACAAGCAAGTCCTTGGCCTGACAGAGCTCACACTCCAGTGGGAAGACACATTACATTAGTAAGCCAGTCAACTCTAAACACGTGAGGAGGGCGCAAGGGATTGGGGCAAGGTGCCTGTGAGGAGGGAGGTTGTGGGCAGGGGGAAAGCTGGCCCAGGCCTCGGGGAGGAGATGCTGGGGCATGGATGGGAGACACGCTGGGAGAGCAGTGTGGGGGTCGGAGGGAAGGGGAGGGGAGGGGAGAGTGGCCGCTGGACCGGAAGGGGCACAGTGGGGGCAGGCGGAGCAGATGGGAAACCAGGGCAAGGTTGTGAGCAGAGGGGGGACAGAGACGTATATGGGCAGCGCGACTGCAGGGGCCACTGAGAAGGGGGTTGGAGCCGCTGTGGCTAGGGGGAACATGCAAGAGGGAGCCACAGCCAGAGGCATGGCCAGCAGGATCTGCAGGGGGCCTGGGGAGTGGGGGAGGAGTCTGGGGGCGGGGTGGGGGTGGGGGGTAGAGCACCAAGCAGCAGGAAGAGTAGAATTGGATTTCCCAGAGTGGAGCAGACTGGCACAAGAGGGTCGGAGTGTGGGGAGAAAGCAGGCAAAGGGGCATAGTAGGTGCCGGAGGCTTCTAGCATATGCATCCAGGCTGGAAATACAGACCTGGTCACCCTCCAAATGTGATGACCAAACAAGTCCAAGTCCTAACCCTCAGTGCCTGTGACCATGACCTTACAATGAAACGGGGCTTGACACCTTTCAGCAACAGCGGCCCTCTTTTCTCCAAAGTTCACTTTGGGCCACTTCATTTTCACAACAGACCTCCATCAGTACCTGCTTTTGCTGATCAAAAGAAATCCGAAGAGGATTTTCATTTTCATGAACAATGATGTGAAACAAACCAACCGTCCAACATGTTGCAGTGAGCCGTTAAGTAGGTGGGGCATGCTGAGCAGCAGCCAGAGGGGTGGGGCCAGGCTCCTCTGGGAAGGACACCCGGAGCCGCAGCCCCCACAGCTCAGAGCAGTGTCCGTGAGCATCTGTGCCTCAGCACAATTCATTGTGTGCACCTCTTAGCAAGGTTCGTCCTGAGCTATCAGAAAAGCCCAAGAGTGCATGGTGTTGGCTTGACATAAAATTGGGCATCCACAGGCGTTTGGATCGTGGTGGGCAGAGGCACCGTGCGTGTACCCATTGCCCTGTGCCTACTATGTGCACCGTTGACCCCTGGAGAAAGAATCGTGAAAGCTGCCAGTTACCCTTGACTCTGCTAGGAGCCGAGTGGTCTCGGTTAGTCATGTGTAAAGGCCAGGCTGAGTCCTTGAGTGAACTGGAGGGGGGACAAGGGGTAGTGCGCTGTCAGGTTACACAGGTTCCCTGCTGCCGGAAAGAAGAGAACGCTTATGAAACGTCTCATAGGGCGAAATGGCATCAGGCAAAGATGCAGTGATCACTCACTCACACGGCAAATGCTGCTGAGCAGTCCCAGGCGTCAAAGAGCCCACCAATCACACCACGCGACACATAAAACCTCCAAAATCCACTGTTCTCCACAGTAACTCCTCACCGCAGCACAAAGCCTCCTCTCTCGGCAAGGCTGGTGGTTGTGAACTGCCGATCCTGTGGTTAGCAGCCCAAAGCGTAGCCACTGGGTCACCACCCAGTAGAAGCAGAGAAGTGTATGATAAACACACAGCCTAAAAAACAGCAATCTCACACACACACAATCCCAGGGAAGGAGCTCGGCCCCTCTCCTCCTGCTCTCTCCCCCACAGTACCAGGGCACGTCTCAGGGAGCCCCGGCGGCACAGTGCTTACATGCCCAGCTGGTAAGCAAAGGGCCTGTGGTTTGAACCCACAGCCACTCTGGGGGAGAAAGGTGTAGCGGTCATCTTCGGTGGATGGACAGCCTACTCTGCCCCCTGGGACTGACGCAACAGAGGGGTGAGTCGCATGTAGGTCTTCCACGAAAGTGGGGTCAACAAGATGGAGGCGAGCAAGAGAAAGTGCACCTGAGGAGAAATCAGTCTTTTAAGAAGCTGAAGCAGAAAGCAGTGGAAGATGGTTATGAAAACATTCTGAAAAGAAATGTCAAGGTGTAAATGTAAGGTGGCCCAGGGTGGGGTGATTTGTTTTCAAAAGAGGGCAGCTTTAGAGCTTATAGGTTTTCATAGGAAAGAGTGCTTTGGCTGACACTAACGTTGCCCCCCAAACCCCCAAAACTCAAGAAATTAACTGCACATGGTGGTTAATCATATACGCAAGTAACTGTGACAAAATTATAATTTATTGGGGAAAAACTTTTGAGCAAAACATTTCAATAGAAGACCAGCAGGCAAAAACACACAAGGCACTGAAGGTTACCCAAATGCCTATGATTGCCACCACTGGGGATGCCGCCCTGGGGCCTCGCTAGCGTGCCTACAGAAAATCCAGGCACACTCCAAGGTAGTGATCAGAATACACGTCTTGTTGCGTTTTGCTCCTATCCAGAAAGGGAAGAGGCCCGAGAGACAATGGAGGCCAGTGTTGTAGCCACAATTCAAGGACCACCAGAGGCTGAGAGATGGAACACTCTTCCACAGAGCGTCCACAGAGAATCAAGCTGGCCGACAGCCTGAGTTCTGAGTTCTGGCCTCTAGAGCGGTCAAAGAACATAATTTCTGCTGTCTTAAGCCACCATTTGTTGGGGCAGCCACAGGAAACCCAAGGGGTGTGTAAAGCTCCCCAACTAAACAAGACCACCCGGGAGGAGACAGGACAACACGCAGGCAAGAAGACACTTGGAAATAAGGAAGACTAGAGAGTCCAGCAAAGAACCAGATGCCCTGACAACGTCAACCTTTTGTGTTGATCGGGAAGTTGTCTACTAGTCCCGTTGTTTCTGCGTTTTCACACTGAGCTGTAAGCCACGCTGAGGTCTGTAGTCTCTGACCTTCACCAGTTCGTGCTTCAAGAGCGCTTCACTTTCCTCTAGCAAGACTGTCACTCACATGTCACAGACCGCGAGTCTTCTTCCCATCTTGCTGCTTCTGAATACCCCAGCTCCTTGGATATTTGCTCAGCACACGGATGAAATAAAAATGGTGAAAGGGCCTTTTGGCTGGAACTGGCACCTTGCAGTGACCTGCCAAAACGACACACACCAAGGGAAAGGGGCCGCTCCCTGCTCTCCAGGCCGGCAGGAAGCACGGCTACATGCACTCGACAAGAAAGGTGACGTGTGCACATCAAGGACACGGGCTCTGTTCAGAGGGATGCCGCACAAATGCGACCACAGCAAACCGGCCCGTGACGCAGCACGCCGTCAGCATTGCTGCGCACAAGCAGGTTAAGGACAAGAACCTCCTCAAGAGAATCACGTGCCTGCTGAGCACATAAGCACTGGAGGAGCCAGGACAGCTTCCTGAAGCGCGTGAAGGAGAAGGACCAGAAGGAGGAGGAGGCCAAGGAGAAGGGCACCTGGGTGCAGCTGTAGCACCAGCCTGTGTCCCCACCTCACCCCCCAAGAGAAGCCCACTTGGTGGGGACCGATGGGAAGGGGCCTGAGCTGTTGGAACCCATCCCCTGCGTTCATGGACTAGTCTGAAATCAAGCTGTCCAGAGTGGGGGTAGGGGAAAGGGTAAAAGGATGCAACCCTGATGCACATACCTGTCCTCAT